TAAAGCTCTGCCTCAGGACTTCCAGCTCTTCTCCTCTAATGGCCTCTCGCTGCAGACTCACAGATTTCAGCATATGTGGTACTAGTAACGACGCCATCTGCCAAGCTGTCAACTCAATCAGCAGTTTCACTCTATACTGTTTTCTAAAACTGCTAAAGTACACTACAGTATGGGATGCATGTTGTTACAAAAATGGAGTTAAGTATTATCTTCTGTGCAGCATATGTAGGGTAGGGCTAGGCTTTCTTTTTTTTAGATTATTTTGTACATTTGAGCAAAACACTTCATCTTCTTGCTTAAAGAAGGTGAAGGTTGGGCTTATAAGCAGGCTGCTTCAACCCAAGTAACAAATAGAAAATAGACTGTTTTGCAAAATATGAACCAAAAATAAATTTATTCATTCAATCATTCATTCTAAAATCACAAAACTATGAGAGTGTGATTCCTCAGGTTGGTTTGGTGATGGCTGAAATGACTTTTGTAGTTCTACACTGAAATTGTAAAAAAAAAAAAAAAAAAAAATGACTTGACTACATCCCTCCAAACCACGTTCATCCTCGCAAGCACCGTCTTACCTAACCAATTTTCTGTGGAAAGCACTGTATATGTGTTTCTGTATACTTTTTCTGTATACTTTTTTAAACTTTCACTTGGGTCCATATGTGTATATATATATATATATATATATATATATATATATATATATATATATATATATATATATATATATATATATATATATATATATATATATATATATATATGAATTGGAATACACTAGAAGCTGTGAAGCTGGCAATTACTTGGACACCACTGAACGCCCCAACACATTACATATGTCTCGACCAAATAGCAGTGATTGGCTAAATTAAAAAAAAATAAAAAATATTTGCCTACTGTTGAGCGAATTAATCCTAATGCTGTGAGGTCAGACGGTTTCGATGAAGTGAAACTGACTGATGAATCAGGCTAACAATACTGAGCTGCACTGAGCGTTGACTTGGAGCTGTCCGTGGTGCTGAAAAGGTTCCTGCTTAAAACTTCATTGTAAAGCAGTTCAGCTCACACAGATTATAACAGATGGCAAATGAGGTGAAAGGTTGATGCAATTCCCATTCACTTACGGTGTTTCAGAGTGAACCAATATAACTGCCATGTAACGTGCTTCCCATGTCAAAACACTGTGTATGCAGGGGAATAAGAAGGTTGACAAAGCATCCGCAACCTGAATGATGCAACTCTCAATGGAAGATTGCCCTGTTCTAAAATTGAACACCATAAACTCACTGCTATTTCATTGTATTGAATTGTATTTTAGTCATGGACAGTCAAGGATTCTTATATTCTGAAGAGAAAAAAAAAAAAAATCACTGAAATGTTTTCTGTTTGAGAAAAGAACTCTGAAGATATAAGGTTTGCGTGATAAACATGTGCAAAAAAAAACAAAAAACTCCAGGTATGTTTGTGATGAGGAAACAACTTTATAACATGGATCAGAAAATAGTCTGATATGGGCACTTTAAAATATTTATGAAAAAAGTGACCCTGTTTAAAAAGCCTTAACAAGACAAAGATATGAGTCGAATCAGTGCTATTTTACTGTAGGTGCTGTGAAGTGGAAGCTACATGGACAGTGAGTTCTGGTGGGACAATCCGAGAAGAGCTGCTTATCTGTGATGTTTTACTGTCAGAGCCAAAGCTATTTACAGCAGAACAATCAGCCGTTAATCGTATTGCAGGCTTATAATTGATTTAGTGGTGATGAAATGTAGACACAAGGATGCAAGTCAGGAGGACGCTTAATCCCCGTCTCCAAGACCTTCACGCAGATAATGTTATGTTTTCAGTCAAAACAAACTGTTAAAGGGCTTGTACACTTTTTTTTGTCATGTAATACCAAGTAAAATAATTTTTCCCCAGTACAGATATATTGTAAAAGCAGCTCTTACCAGCTCAAAATGAAGTATTTTTCTAATCAACCTCAAACCAGGGAGTACCGCTAGTGTGATATTAGCATGCTAGTTGTTGTTAGCAGTTGCAGGATGACAAAAAAGCGCTAGTCTATGAAAGCTGGGAAAAGTGCTTATAATGTTTATTAGGGATGCAGCTATCCAGCTTTTTCAGTTCCTATACCAATTCCTATATTCTAACTTTATAGGTGCATTGTGTAACTTTTCTGGTGGAGGGCCCGTCAGATACTTTTTCTCCTCTGAGATGTTATTGCTTTGTCTGGAATGTTTTACAGTATGAAATTAAACCTTTCTATCTTCATGAATATCAAACCAGACCAAGTTACAGGTTAGAGCTGTGAAGAGGCGACTCACTCACAGTTAGAATGTCTGTTTTTCTAGATAATTTTGAGCTATAAATCCACCTGTAATTGAATGAATGTAAGGTTCTTTAATGCCATACAGTGCAACATTCCAGGGACAGCAATGACACATCCAGAGAAACAAGCAGGTGACAAAACCCCAACCAAAAAGTTACATAGTGAACCTTTAAGTATCTGCTGATATCAATCAAGCAAAGACTGAAAACAACATTTATTTATATATATATAATAAAAAAAAAAAAAAGATTAACAAAAGACAAAACCATTCTGAAATGTGTCTGTTATTTATCTCGGCACAACAACTTTGTGTGAATAAAAGTTCAAACATTCTGAGACTTTCTGGTCTAAACACGACCAGCAAACAGTCTTAATACATCAGCGTTTATGTCCAGCCAGGGTATCAGCTGAATCGATATTTGGAAGCCGGTATCTGATCCGTAAGTGTTTGAAAAGAGAGGAATAACTTTGATTAATTGACTTTTTTTTCTGAGTCAATACAAATGACTCTATTGCACTTTAAAATACATGATATATATTTGTTTTATTATATCATAAAAGCTTGTCCACTAATACAGTTCACAAATGTTAATCAAATATTAATCTGATGTGAGGTGTACTACTCAAATATTACAAACGTAAAGCTAGCATTTATTTCCAGAACACTGGCTTGGTCGTGTTTGGATCAATTCAGTGTTTATTCAATGTTTGGCAAAGAAAGGAAAGACAGCATTAGTGCGGCTAAGAAAAGAGTAGTCTCCATGGCAACCGTAATAAAATGGAGGCTGCCATGTTAGTAGTAGTGGAGTCATGTGACCATGGAAAACCCTGAAAATGATGGCTCATACTCCTTGAACCACTCTCACAGTTTTAGTCCTGGCATGGTCATCTTGCTGAATCTGAGTGACTTTTTAAGAAGAATTTGAGAGAATTACAGCCATTAGTTTTTTCACTAAGGGTCAATTTTGGATTTTCTTTTTCTTTTTTTTAAGTGAAGACGTTTCACAGCTCAAGCATTTCCCTTTCCCTCTTTGTGAATAGTGTACATTTGAACCAATTACCTTTAGGCTCAAGATAGATGGAGTTCCTTATGTGTAATTTCCTCATGCATGTTACAAAGGACAGCTATGAGAGGGCTCAAAGTGTTATTGTTGTATGATTGATGTGTGTCAGACACGTGACATGACCATCAAATGGCACAAGGTCAGAGCTGTCATCACGGCTGTAATTACAGCGAGCTTCTCTCAGCGTTCAATAGAAGACAGACTCCAAGGTCGTACGTGTTCACTGCACCTGTCAGACCTCCAGATGAGGGTCAATATCCTTTATATGGACACTCACCGATTGATTTTTCATAATTATTACCAGCAGTGGGAGGACAGTGTGGATGTTGCAAAGAAATACCGACCCAGACCAGCCCATTTAAGCACATGTCCTCTATGTGTTCTTGTGCTCTGTCCAACTTCTCCACATTATCTTCCAGCCTGTATTTGTCCTTTTTGCGTGTGTGTGTGTGTGTATGTGTATGTGTTGTAATACTTAAGTGTCACATGAGCATGCTCTATATTTCCATGCCCAAAAATACAAATGTAAATGAATGAAAACTTCACGCATCAATTTCTTATAACAGTTGCCTTAAAGGAGAAGGAGCAGCAATACCATGAACAGGCCCGATGAAGGCCTAGTGCTCACAATTTGCAAATAAGATGGTCTAGGGTATTTTTCTGTCAAAATACAAACGTGTAATCCTCAGATATTTAAGTCTTTGTTGACTTTATACAGCAACATTAATTCTAGTGACATTTGAAAGTTCATAAAAGTTTGGTTTACTTAACTTAACTTAAATGCAACAGCCAGGTTTTTTTAAGATCATTATTGGTGTTCACAGGCCAATAGTTTTACTGTGCACTAGAGGGTATCTAACACAACACTTATTTGAAGCCTGCAGAGGCTGTAGACCAGGCTCCTTTAAAACCATACCACTGACACACAGAGAGGTAATTACTGGTTACGGGGCGAAAATAGTCGCTTAATGTAGGTACGTGAACCTGGCGCGGAGCGTGAGGGAGGTGTGTTGTGCCTGTTCCCGCCACAGCCCCCCGCGTTGCCCTGTACAAACCACTCAGCGTGAAGCACGAGCCGGCGTGGGTTTTCCCCATTCATGAAGCCACTGACTCATCACCGCTTCTACCGCTTCCACCGCTTCCACCGCTCTGCCGCTGTTTGCGCTGCTGCTGCTGCTGCTGCTGCTGCTGTAGCGGTCAGTGAGTGAGCCACCTGCAGCACCACTCCGCTCCTCTCCTGTTGCAGCCCCCCTCCTCCCCCCTTTCCTTCCTCTCCAGCGCCATCCTCATCCTCAACACGTTAGTCCAGCCTCCTTCTTACCACATGCACAGAGCGGCAGAGAGAGGCGGCACACGGAAGGACACGCACATCAGCCCGCCGCTTCGCCTGATGCATGCGTCTCTGTCACGGAACATGGCTCGACATGGGAGGCGACGACGCGCGGTGAATTAGCGGCAGACTGCTGCGTCTCTCGGCGTCTGCTCTGCCGCGGATTGCTGCAGTGCTGTACGTTCCAGCCAGGTGTGCGTGCGTGTCGGTGTGTGCGCGTGTGAGGGGGATAATTCTCTTGGACTTGGACTACGCCAGGGTTGGGGTCTGATGTCACATGTGCTTGATCGGAGGAGACGGGGCTTCCGCGAGCTGGATTTTGTGGAGGATGCTGCGGCAAGTGATTCACAGAGGGCTCAAGGCGTCGTTCTACTGGCTCGGCTTGTTCGTCAGCAGGCACCCCGTCTTCTTCCTCACCGTGCCCGCCGTGCTAACCATCATCTTCGGCTCCACCGTACTCAGTCGCTTCAAGCCGGAGACCAATCTGGAAGTGCTGGTGGCCCCGACTCACAGCTTAGCGAAGATCGAACGCAGTCTCGCCAACAGCCTCTTCCCCGTGGATCAGTCCAAGCACAAGCTCTACTCGGATCTCCACACGCCGGGCAGGTACGGGAGGCTCATTCTACTCGCCCGCGCTGGAGGGAACATACTGGAACTAGCGGACCAGGTTCTCCAAGTGCACAAGCAAGTCCTGGAGCTGCGCGTGAATTATAAAGGATTCAATTACACGTTTGCTCACCTCTGCGTGCTTAGCCACCGGGACAAGCGTTGCCTCCTGGATGATATCATTACCATCTTTGAGGACATACGCCAGGCCGTGCTTTCCAACAGTACTTTCCACAAGGTGCCCGTGGGCTACCCCAATACCACGCTGAAGGTGAGTGGTGGAGCTGGAGCGCGCACTGCAGCTGCCGCCAGCCGCATAGAGTGCACCGTGCTCCGGGTACTGTCAGTTCCCTGCCTCCCCCCTGTTAGGGCTTTCACCAAATTCCACCGCATTGGATAGAAACACCGGTCCGTCTTTGCGCAAACGGATTATTCTTAACCCTTTGGCTCTTGGTGCATAGTTTTATGTCCATTCAACATGTTCTAGTCCATGTCGACACCTGTAATGAATAAGATGCATTGGCAGGCAGTTACGTGCAGCACAATCAGAGCTGGCCATAATTTCTGAATGAATGGACTTAGATGGGGCGGGACTATGTAAGATAGGGGGTAAGACAGAGGTTTGAAACGGCATGCCTCTACCAGCAGTGTCCTAAGTTTCTCGTAGCTGTTTTTTTACTTACAAATCTGCTCTATACAGCAAGGAAAGATAATTCATGATGAGTAAATACAAGAATAATGTTTTTGGCCAACGGATTTTGATGCAGTGAGTAAAAGGTCAACCTGCACACATACATGTTGTTCCTATTCCTCAGTCAGAACATGAGTGTATTATAAGATCCTTTGACTTTAGTTATTCTCCACATTCAGACAGAGGGTCAGGGTCACAGGAAGGGCACCCAGTGTCAATGGCCAAGTTATAGACGAGATGATCAGGTGATTGGAGGAAAGACGGTACATGATTCACTGTGGGAATAATTACACAGAAAGGATTCAGTTCTTTCTTTTGATATACGAAAAACATGCCTTAGTTCAGCCATACAAAGATTTGAAGATATTATACTGTAATATATAATGATTGATTGTTTTTTTATTGTCTCAGTAAGTATTGCAACTTATGGGTCACATGGCTCCACTCACTGTTCTGGTCAGAAATGGGAAGATTAGCATCAGAGCCAATATTGATAAAGTCAAGACAATTTCAAATATTGCCCACAGCACCAGCTGCTTCCTATGTACTATTGCCTTTTGAAAGACTCTCCTCTGGTGCTGCATGAGAAGTCATGTATCAGACAAAAAGGCTAGAATATCCATCCTGTTGATGGCATCAATTTAAACTATAATATTCTTCACCTCTCAGCCTCAGTTCACACAGTAGTGCACACTGTGCTCTGTTGCAGCTCATTATGCCCTCCAGAAATGAGCATGGATTAATATTATTGATAAGTTTACTTGATCCTTCCATTGTAACATGAATGCGCATACAGTACTAAACTCAGCTATGTTCTCTTATGACCATATCCACACTGTGCTCCATGGTGTTGGTGTTCACCCTCCCTATAGTGGACTTGTAATGTTCCAAAATGGTCACAATATTGTTACTTCGCAGTTGGGTGATTCATCATTCATATTTTTACTTATTTCAGCCCGTGCAGCAGGGAAACCCCCATAGCACACATGTTGCATCTTATTTTCTTGGCTTTTGAGCACAACAGTTTATCCATTGCTTTGTCTGGATGACTGACGTAATCCTGAGGATGTATGTTTAAGATAATTTCAGATCACTTGTGCAAATCATGATAATATCTGATAATATAGTGAAATTCCTGTGTGGTGTAATACATAAATAGAAACAAGAGGGTTCCATTGAACTGCAAAATGTTAAGCGGTTTCATAATACACAACAATATTACATCAGGCAGGCGTTGTCCACACACACTTCCCAGCATGTTGCAGGGAAACCCCCTCCCCTTACAATCATACAGCCAGCATCTGCACCTGTCATGTGGCCAGCCCCTGTCTCACATCCATGTAAAGCTAAAATGGCTGATAATGGTCCACTTTCTCTTGATTGTGTCGTACAGATTTTACAGATGCAGCACCAAGAGTCCACAGTGTGGTTTAGCCGGTGTGTGGAAAACCCCTCTTCTCTCACGAGCCGTGCTGGTGCATGTGAATTGATTGGCTGCATGTGGCTGCTGCTGCACACACACACAGACATACACACACAGACTAACACACTATACACACACACATACACATGCACACACACACAGTGAAGCAGAGGAGAGGAGGGATATCCTCGTTTTTAATGCAGTGTTCCCCTCTCCCGAGTCGCCGCGTGACAAGGCTCTCTCTCACAGCCGCAGTGCACAGGTTTTGTACGTCCATGCTCAGGGTTAGCTAGCACAAAGACATACGCTAAAGGCTGCCTCCAATGCAGATGTCTTGTGAAGGTGTTACAGGCTGATATCGAGTGCTGTGATGCTGCATAGCAACATACGGTTGTCAAGATGCAGAGCGCATCTGTGTAGAGTAACTGCAACGGGGAGTGTGTTCAAGCAAAATGAGAATTAATGATTTGATTGGTCACGGAAACAAAGATGTGCAACTGTTAATAATATTTTACACTTAAATTGGTAAAGAAAACACCCATAGATATGAGTGTGTTTCTGTCCCCCACCTTTTGTATTTAAAAGTGCAGGACCAACATGCCTGAGCATGATGTCCACAACCAAGACTCGTGATGTAATAGCACTAAAGTTATACATATAATCAGTTTTTGTTTGTAAATCCAAATGCATTAAACAACTAGTGCTGCTAATCTTTGTAAAACTGTCTTTTGCTGCTGTCCCAGTTCAGTAATAAGTGCAGAGTGACTAATAATACAGCATGTAATGAAAAATGGCTGCTCCGACATGCGCTGCGCAGCACTTTTGCCCCCTTTTTATGTATACTTCCAATGGAACTTTTGCATTGTGCTCTATACATACTGTGTCAATATAGAGTCACTTCTGCAATACCACAGAGCAGCCACTACTCAGATTAGCGACGGCTGGAGGTCATCTATGATAGATCTTATAATTCTGATGAATTCCACCCTGTCTAAACAAACAAAAGGATAGTATCACACATCTCTTATTCTTGTCAAGTTTATGCTCATGTTGCAAACTAACTTTCTATGGAGAAAGGAAAAGGTATTAATGTGTTTTAGATGAAAATCTACACACTGTAACCAGGGACAACAAACAAGTAACCAAATCCACACAGGCACCTGCCACAGATTTACAATTAAACCCTCACGCTCTGAGGTCTCAGAGCTAACCACTCTGCAACTGCACAGCCAAAATAAGAACTCTAAACTCCATGTGCCCTACAGCCGGCCAGTGGACCCGTCTCTCTCAGTCTGGGGCTGTCATATTCCTGGATGCACATGTGCTGTGCTGCTCTCAGCCCACTGCTCATGAATACTGCACAAGTGGCACTAGCACATGTTTAATGCAACACAGAGCTGTCTCCATCAGCAGGAGGCCACACTGAATTCTGATAGGTCCAAGCCTCACTCACATGTCTGGAGCTTGTTTCCTGTACACTTAGTTTGGTGTGTGGGAGTTCATTCCTCTAACTTTAAGCCCATTCACAGTTATCCAACATGCTGATGTTTCCCATTGTTGAGTACTCAGAGCTTTTGGCTCAGTCTGGTCTCCACTCCATCGCTCTGAGCTCCAAGCACTCCGGTGCAATCAGATTAGTTTATTTCAGTGACACGTGAAACTCACTGGTCACATCATTTACAGCTAAAATGATATATAAATGAGTTATAATGATAGTCAGAGTTTAATGCTTCGCTCATTGATTCTGCAGAAATATGCTGATGTTTGTCAGTCCCCTGTGGTATAGTTTTTCATTTATTATGTCCTCATAAGAAGCCATATTTGTTTTGCTGTGTGTCCCTCACTGGCTAATCACACCCATCTGAAAACGGGAGGAGATTCTGTAGTCAAACAGAAATCAGCTGGAAAGTCTCCCTGAATTGTACCCTTTATGAAACTAAGTTAGTTAATTTCCAGCCAGGAGAACTTTCCAGCTGATTTACAACCAGACTCACATCTTTGTAAAGTATGAAGCTCAACAGTGACCGCCGACCCCCAGTGACCACAAGACATATCATTTTATTTAAAATCACTTTCTAAAACATTATAAACTGCCAAGTTATTTAACCATTTAGCTAAATCTTTCATTTTAAACATGTTTTTTGGACTTTGGAAAACAACCGCGCTATGGATTATAGTTATCACATATCTGGTTAGCCTCTGCAGTGCCTTTGAACTCTTAATATTTTGATATTTTTGTAAAATTCTAATGGGAAAACTGAGTGGAAAATTTACTTCTGGTAAATTCAGTGACAGTGACACAGTCCAGAGCAGACTGTCACTGTTTAGCTCCATTGGATCCCAGGCAACTGCTCTAAAGCCCAGTAAACTGTTGCTGGTCATTTTCTGGCTGAAATTCAGTTTGTCACAAAACATCTATCCATGGGTTTCAGAATGATGACAAAATGGGACAGTTTCTATGGCAATTAACAGTTTAAAACAAAAATCTCATCATTTGAATGGTGAAAAGTGCTAAAATACTGGAACCTGAAAGCCTGAAATCTGTTAGCATCATGATACTAATAGCTGTGCAGATCACGTCCTATTCCAACAAGACGCTACAGTATATCTCCATATTCTTGATATAACCCAAAATATATTCCACATTATTTTAAATTATAAAAAGCAGAATGCAGCTGTATTAAGCATAATTTTAATGTTAAACAGATATATTTAAAAAAATAAACATTCAGTACAATGTGATTATGATTAAAGGAAGGTGTCTATAATGCAATAATGAAGAGATTGATGTATTTGGAAGAGAAAAGTCTTCCTCCTGTATATTTGGTCCTTATGGTGACGGCAACGAAATGGAAATTATGAAGTAGAAATTATAGCCTCAGCTACATAGGAACAGTTAAATCCAGGTTAAATGATGGTGTATTATCTGAGTGGTGTTTGTTTAAGAACAGTGGGTCGCTGTGTCACACTCAGTACCTGCACAAAAGCTCCAGTGCTCAGATAAATGTCGAAGAATATGATATTATTTAATCCACTGACACATAAAGGCACTGAGTCACCGCCAGCTGCAAACAACCTTAAAGAGATCCGTGAGTCATCCTTATGTATCCAGTCTATTACAATCAGAGCTGGAAATCGCAACTTTCAGCACAATTAG